AAAGGTCAAGAGAGTCAAGCTGGTTTTCTTCGGTCTTATTTATTTTGTTATACTCTCTTTTTTAATTTCTGTATGTTTTGTCTTTATTGGGACAAGACTGAATGGAGACCGCCCATCTGTCAAGCACATAGATTTATTTTGAAGAAAAAAAAGTTTTACTAAAATGTGTAAGATTCGAATTTGCCGCTTGCTTCTTTTTCCAGAGAAACCTTAAACGGAACCAATTTAAACTTTCTGTCTATTTTCCACTCGCTAATTCAACTTATGGGAACCAAAGACTAAACCATAAATCCACATAGGAGAACTCAAAATATTCTTTAGTTTGATTGCTGATCCAATCATTACAGAATTATATTCGAGTGGGAATTTGAAAGATTAATTATTAACTTGTAAATTAATATTATGAAGTTTTTTTGTAACAAAAACAACAACTTGAACTCAATGTGAAAGTGTTAACTGTGAATAATAAGGGCAGGAACCATATGCAATAAATGAGCAGCATACGGAATGTTGGCCTATAACTATAACCTCGAGACGATTTACCACTACGTCACAGGTATCACGTGATTGGTCAAGGTTTTGACTCTCATTGATCCTATTAGTCTAGTGGACACAGCTCACAAGCCACTAGAGAGAGAGAGAGAGAGAGAGAAGAGAGTATATAGACGTGACCATATCAAATAAAATAATGCATGCATTTGCCATTTGATCATTTAACAGAACTCATATAATCGGTTTTGATATTTGCTATGAAGTATGGAGACAGCGACTCCAACAAGGTATATTGAATTACTGATCTTAGCAGAATTGTTACGCTTATAGCCTAAAATCCTTTAGACTTTAGTTTGGTTTTCATGTCTCTACAAGTCTACAACTTGACAAATCGCTAACTGAACCACCAAACTCTTTTCATTTTTTCGTTTGAAAATAAAAACTCTTTTCATTTTTGTTCTTGTGCTCGAATTTTATGATTTTTCAAATTTTAACTCCAATAAAATCACATTTGTGTCCCACAAGAATAACTCAACATTCTTACTCGTTTTATGCAAAATTGTAGATATTTTACACTATTATACTTCGTTATTCTAATCATGTACTTCAGATAAAATTTATTTACTTCAAAATTCTCATATCACACATTTTTATCTACTGTAATAATGGCTTTGACTGTTGGATAAAAGTATATATTCAACAAATGGGTTAATTTAATAATGGGCTGGCCACATGTGGCCCAACGTTCGTTGAACAGCCTTTTGTTAAATTGATTGAGAGTTGAGACAGACCTCTTTTTTTTGTTTTTGGCTCGAAATTTCTGGTTCAATGTCTGTTTACCGTGGGATAAACGAAAACCAGATTGCCACTATTGGTGAAAACAATGATATCAACTTAACTAGTTAAGGGAACCAACCAAATAATCAAAAAAGTAATTTTCGGTACAATGGTTGCTTATGTGATTTTGGTTATGGCTTCACTGAACCGGCAGAGAGTCTTGACTCTTGATCACATGGGCTGAACCGGAGGTAATGTATAAGGCGTGGAGTGTGCGTGCACGCCATGACATAAAAGTACATAATATTAATTCAAAATGATGAATTGGTTACCGTTGTTTTTCGTTATGCATTGATTGTATTACTACTATCCAAGGCGTGACATGACAAAACACAGACATATAATTTCGGTGGCAAATTCTCTATGTTTTATTCGTAGTCTACATTTTTCTCAAATCTTTGTAAACTTTATCCCTTTCTTCGCTTTTTAATATATATCTTCTTTTCCTCTCGAGATCTTCAGGATCTTCAACTTTCCATGTTATTACAGATAGTATATGATATGTCTTAAGTAAAAGGAATTATAAGTAAAGCTGAGTAGTATGTTAATTTAAATTTAACCCATATAAACTATAAGCACGTCCTTCTGTATAATCATTTTTTCCCCATCAATCAACAAATTTGTCAGAGCCCAGAGGGTAAGGAAAAGCATTAATGGGTGAGAAAAAAGCATACAGTTAAAAAAGCTACAAAGTAGTACTAAAGAGCCAAGCCCCACTTAAAAGGCCGACCAATCTTAATGAGCCTATTCCACTAGATGCAATCGACCGGTTCGGTATATTGATTTGATATCTGTTAGTCAGTTACTCTCTCTTCAATTTATTTCCTTGGGGATGAAAATAAAGATCAAAACCTACCAACTATAAAACTCATCACCATACGAAATTACGAATGCAGTAAAGAACAAAACGTACCAACCTGTGTACCGGACTATACCGAATTTATGTTGGATCGGGCTTGGTGGGACAGGAACAAACCCATTACTCGCACGTGCTAAACCAGCTAATACTTTCACATTTTCTTTAGGAGACGCATCATAACTAGAGTTAAAACTTAAAAAGAAGAGATAAAAAAAGAAGAAGAAGAAGATACGATCACATGGCCAATGAGTAACTCATGGCTTTCAGAGCGATACAATGGTTAAAATGATAATTGACTAATTTGCCAAAGCCATTAACGTGATTGTGATTAAGAGATAAAGAAACATAATTCGTTAATAATCAGGCAATGGAACCGACAAAATAGTGCAAAGTGAAACTAATCGACATTTTATCCACACAAATAAAAACATTTTTTTATTTTTTGTGATAATGTATTTATATTAATCGAAAAGAAAAGAAATACTCCACATTGAGCTTAGATTCATATATCATACTTATAAGATTCTGAACAACGAGTAATTATAAAGTTAATTGAAAAGAAATCTTAAATACACAAATCGTCACCAGAAAGTAAAAATGTAGTAGTGTAGTTAAAAAGTAAAAGAGAGAGGTTTCAGTTCATCGTACTATCGGGACAAAATATCCGATGATTTTCAGTCACCCAAAACAGAGCAAGACCGAGAACAGAACAAAGAGAAGAGAACCCAACAAACGATCCGATCCAGAATCTCCCGGAGGTGGAGTGTGATAGTAAAACGGAAAATAAGGAACGATTGGATTCGGTGGAGGCGTCATCGGGTAATTGCCGTAAGAAGCAGGCGGATAATAGTAATTTTGTCCACCGTCTCCGTTGCCACCGTATGGAGGCGGGTATTTAGCACCACCGGAGCTTGAAGGAGGAGGAGGAGAGGAGTAATAATAAGATCCTCCGCCGCCGGTGCTTGGAGGAGGAGGAGGAGGAGGAGGATATGGGACAGGATTACATGGATTGTCGCAAGAGGCACACATTGTGCAAGAAACAGTTTGGTCCTTTGAAGTCACACAGAGAGACAGTGACAGTAGCAGTAGAAGAAGAGCTGGCAGGTTAAAGAATCTGATTGCTTCCATTGTCAGAAATTTTGTTCTCGACAAATGAGCGAGAGATATTAGTCTACGATTAAGATCAAGTGATAAGGATGAGAGAAGATGAAAGGAAGGGAGAGAGAGAGAGAGAGAGAGGAAGCACGTTCAGTGATTCAGAGGCTCAGACAGAAGTGACCTCTCTTTATTAAGGAATTTCATATTTTTATTATTTATTTATCCTTTGTTGCAAAATAAATAATTATTTTATGCTTTCAAAAGTTACATTGGGTGTATTTATCCATGTGACATTTTCTTACAAATTTTACAATTCTAGGTATATTCCTATACTATTTTTTTCCTTAAACTGTTTTATTTTTATTTTTATTATATCTAGTGTAAACGTGAGGGTTATAGGAGAAGAAATACATACACTTATAAGCATTATGCCACTGTAGAATCAGCACAGTGTTATATATAAAAAAACATTAATTTTTGTGACATTTTCTTACAAATTTTACAGTTTTAACCTTTAGGTATATTCCTATACTATTTTTTTTTTCCTTAAACTGTTTTTTTCTACATCTAGTGTAATCGTGAGTGTTATAGGAGAAATACATACACTTAAGGCCACTATAGAATCAGCACACAGTGTTATATTTTTTTAAAAAAATCTTACTTTGAAAATTAAATCTGTAAACTCTCTTAAGATATAATTCTATTATTATTTTACAATTTGAATAATTACATGCATCTAGCAATAAAACTCATCAACTTGGAGCATAATGAACTTAATAGCGTGACATTGTATCACACGAGCCATTAGGATTTAGTTTTAGGTCCTCGTTAGAATAGATAGTCGATACTTTAGGTATAGCTGGACGAAATTTGGAATGAAGTGAAAAGTCTTGTAATACAATTATGCAAGGTGGTTGCAATAGCCAATAGGCCCAGTGGAGGTCGGCACCTATACGAATGTAAATGGGTTTTAAGTGAACGTATAAAAGTTACATTGATGCAAAAAGATCGGTGTCATTATCTTGCATCCAAGAAAAAGTTTCCCAATGCACAAAAGTGATAAGAGACCAAATTTAATTTTGCTTTCGTTTGTTTCAATTTATTATTTAGAAGATGTAATGTGAATGTGGGTTAAGGTGATTTGAACTTTGAAAATGAAAGAAAGAGAAGATCCAACGAAAAAGCACAAAGGCAAATAAAAGGAGACAAAGCCCTGTAAGTGTTGGTTGCCAAAATATTAATCGGATTCCTCCTTGTTTGATTGATACAGAAGTTGATTATTATTGCCATCACTTTATTCCCTCCCCTCACATGCAGCTTGTTTTTTTATACCTTTTTATAAAACAAATTTTTTTACAAATTTGAGATGACTCATGTCGCTCTCTGAGTTTTTAATTATACTACTACAAGAATAATTCGTAACACGAATCGGCGACTCATAATCATGGTTTATCTGGTAAAGTATATAAAATTAAGTACTAATAAATGCAGCAGTTTGTTTTATAAAATTTATTAGTAATAAATGTGGCAGTTTCTTTTCTTAGACAGGACTTTGTGGTAAATCAAGGCCACACGTGTGAAGCATACATACAACAAAACCCCTTTCTTATGTTCGGTCCAATCCAAACCAAACCGCGTGAACGAACGACTGATATTAAATGGGGCAAAACTATAAATAAGAATAAAATCGGAGGGTATAACAGGTAAAACATATGTTGGCTTTCTTTGTCATCTTGTGTCTTCCGAACTACAAGTTCGGTAACAAGTCTCTCGCTTCCACTCTCTCTCTTCCACTCTCTCTCTCCATCTCCCTTCCGTTTTTCTTCCCCTTCTCTCTCTCCGTCCTTCTAGGGTTTCGTTTTGATCACATTCATTTTTTCCCCTTTCATCTCAATTGTCTCGAATTTTATTCAGTTTTGTAACATTCAGAGGAAAATGGATTCGAGTTCATGGATCAATTGTCCTTCCGTTTTCTCATCATCATCTTCTTCTTCGCGACGATGTCAATCCCGATCAGGTTCGCGCGTCTTTTTGTACCATACGATCTCGTTTTCCTCGTAGGCTCCGTCATGGGATTGATCGGTGAAAGTTTTGGAGCAGATTTGTATATAGGTGGAGGGTACGAGGATCTCGAAGGAGAAGACGATTTGAAGGCAGAGTTTATCTGCCCGTTCTGTGCAGAAGATTTTGACATTGTCGGGCTGTGTTGTCACGTTGATGAAGAGCATCCTGTTGAGGCCAAGAATGGGGTAATCAACGATCATCAACCCTTCTTTAGCGTTAGCAAATCTTTGATGTTTAAGTTGATCAGGTCTTAAGCTTGTTTTTGTCCAAATTATACAAAAATCTGGTTTTTTTTTTCTTAAGAAATTTCGAAGCTTGCTTGGAATTGAAAAATGTCGGTTTCATGTTCTGCCTACCTGTTGTTTCTTCTTATCAGATGAGCAAATTTAGCAGCCTTTTGAATCCAATCTTGGAATATTTCGTTAAAATGAGTATTCGTCAATAGCTGGTAATCGGTAAATTAGTGATCTTTGGTGTCCGGATGCTACTTTTTGAGCTGATTATCTGTCTGCTCTTAAACATGGAGCTGATAGAATGTGTGCCTTTGGCTTTCCAGGTGTGTCCTGTATGCACAAAGAGAGTGGGACTGGATATCGTTGGCCACATTACGACGCAGCATGCGAATTTCTTTAAGATATCCTTTCAAATCTTGATATTTTCTTATATCATGCTTTGTTCTGTCTATAGACTATATAGTACACAGTCATTTGGTAGAACTTAAGAGTGAGTTTTGTTTATTCCTTGATGAGAGGTTTCTACGTGCAGCGAAGGAGAAGGTTGAGGAGAGGTGGATATAGCTCTGCTTATCTCGCCTTGAAAAAAGAACTCCGGGAAGCAAACTTACAGTCTCTTCTTGGTGGATCTTCAAGTTTCACTTGTTCAACCAATATAGATTCTGATCCGTTGCTGTCATCTTTTATGTTTAATTCTCCTTCGGCTAATGAATCTGCAAGCAAATCCGCTACACCTGTTACCCAAGGAACCTCAGCTACAAAAGTCCCGCAAAAGGAATCTCTCAAAAGGTATTTATATCTGTAATTGAATCTTCCGGTCCCAAGAAAGCTAGCATAGGGCTTATTTCTCACTTGGTCTCTGGCTTTAATCTGTGATGCAGAGATATTCGAGAAGCTCCACTTTCAGGAGAAGATCAAGAGAAGGCGGAAAAAAGCGAGTTTGTGCGAGGTTTGTTTTTGTCAACCATGCTTGGAGACGAGTTCTAATATCCGGTAAAAGCCCTATGCTTTGTTGAGGAATCTGAGGTTGAAATTGATAGAATGGTCTCAATGTATGATGCAAAACCTTGCAAGTTAAAAGGAGAGCAGACTTAAATCCATATATTATTGTCATTGTACGTTGGAGCCTTTTTATGCGTATAAACGGAAACAAAGTACTTTCCTTTCGTTGAGGCTGTCATGGATTCATTGAATTAGTCAAACTTGATGGACTCGGAAGTTTCTATTGGTTCAAATCAAAAAGTTAATAAGTTTTGGGAAAAGACAAAAGAAAAGTTGAATATTTGTTTTTGGAGTTTTCTATTTTATTTACTAAATAAAAAGTTGGATTATTTTCGTCTGTAAAAAGCTGAAAATCCCATGAAACTTTTGAAGCAAGACAAGAGATAAGAATATAAAAAAAAAATCAAACTGATCACGAGAAATCTCCTTTTCACTAATTACGGCATCTTGAAAAAACTGCTCAACAAAAATTTCTTTGATTACACATGAATAAAGAAATGAACCTGTACAGATATCACAATATGCGAACTACATGAAAAAACAAAAACGGAATAACAAAAAGCAACATGTATGACCTGAGAGACAGTGTGGTTTATTTTGGGAAAAGAATCTGACCTTTTTTTTTCTAACTTCACAAATATGAATTGAATCCTAGAAAGAATCCCAAGAAAATACTTTCTTGTGTTTTTTTCTTTCTTTGGCAGAGTTTCGGTCTCTTTAGACTGCAGCTTTACCGTAAGCATTATCAACTCTCTTAAGCTCGGGACACGGTTCAGGTATTACCGATTTCGAAGACCCGTAAACGTAGGAACATTGCCAAGAAACAGTTGAAGAAGAAGCAGAGCTCATCGACAATGAGACATTCGATAAAGCCACCGAGCTAAACGGAGACTCTTTGATCCCAAACAGTTTTCCCGCAATGCCGATATCTACTCCATAAATGTTGTTTAGTCTAATGTGAGTCACTAGCGGAAGAGCATTTGCGTCGTATCTATCATCAGGGTGAGATCCAAAGCTACCATTAGCAACAATGGCAGTACCGACTCTCGACATATGGATATTCGAAATATCGATCTCTTTGATGTAACCGCCTCTTCCTTTCGCGGTTCTAAAGGCGATGCCGGTCAATGAGTTGTGTGTATGAGCATTATCGACCACGACGTCGGATATTCCACCGGACATTTCGCTACCAAAGGAAATAGAAGAACCAGAAGCTGCTCGAAGGTAAACGTTTCTGATATGAACATTTTCAGTGGGACGAGAATAAGCAATTCCGTATTCATCCCAACCGCTTTTCAGGGAAATCGCGTCGTACCCCATGTTAATGGTTGAGTTTTGGATGCACACGTTATAAGAAGAATCTGATGAAACATAACAAAAACTTTTTAATATTTTCTTACATATAAAAGGTAGTAATTTTAATTAATAGACAAGAAGCGGTGAATAACTAACCTGGTACAATACCGATTGTGTAAGGAGACTCTGGAGAAGAATGAGCTGATATCGTATGAATATATACATGGCTGCATAAGAACAGTGATTAGAGTCAAAAGTGTTTACCATTTCTAATATCCCAAAAAAATGCGGGTTAGGACTGAGCTATCTCTTACTTACCTAGAGTAAATCGAATGGATTGTGTAAGCTGGAGCATTCAAGAACGTAAGATTCGAGACAATGACATTTTCGGATGAAATAAACTCGACGAGGTGAGGACGGTTATACTTCAAGGAACGAGAAGTAAACCGATCCCACCAAACCAAGCCTTGACCATCTATCGTACCATTGTCACCTAAAATGGAGTAACCATCAAGTGTAAACAACATATTATAAGCCAAGTAAAAATGAGAGAATTTATAAAAGAAAAGCATTGTTGTTACCTGTTACAACCACATCATGTAGCATATGACCGTTTATCAAACTCTTGTATCGCTTCCCCGGCAAATCAGTCCCTCGTCCATATGACGGTAACGGATCAACAACTTCCCAGTGCGATGGATCCTTTTGTAGTAGTAACAAACACACACACACACAAACAAAATTAATCATTAAATGCTACAAAATTTTGTATTTTTTTCTCTACTAATCAAATTATCGAAGTTTTAGTGTATACCTGGGATGCAACTATAACGGCGCCGTTTTCGAGAAAGAGAGTTAGATGGCTGGTGAGGCTGAAACTTCCGGTGAGCCATTTCCCGGGAGGAACATAGAGCTGGGCCCCACCTTTGTCGGCGAAGGACATTAGATAGAAAACGGCGTTCTGAAACGCAAGAGTGTTCAGCGTTTTGCCATCTCCCACAGCTCCAAACTCTGCAATTGAGACACTGTGTGGTCTTGTACTCAATGATCTCCGCCCAAGTTCGTCGCATACTTTTCCGGCGCCGTCAATTTTAGCGTAAACTGAAATCAGACTTGTTATCACGAGCACCAATATTATTGCACCCTGCGACAAAAGCCAAAACAAAACAAAACGGTGTTAATCGAGTTACAATTTTCAGATCCAGTTTTAGAATCGGATCTAGTGAAATGAAGAACACGCAGAAACTCTAGTGAACAGAGGGACTCATTGACGCAACGATGGAGAGTTTAAAATCAACCAAAGCCCAGTAGAAAGGGACAACGCAGAAGTACATATATAATTATGAGACAAACAAAAAGTGAGAACGCACTTACTGACATCTTTATTTGTAACGAAGCTGTCGGATATTGAAAGAGAAAAGTTATAAAGGGAATGAAGAACTTTTCGCGCCAAATGTAAAACCAGGCGCTGAGAAAGAGAAGGAGAGAAGAGAGAAAGGAGAAGAGTTTCTTCGAAACCACACCACACAAAGCAGAGAAGGTTTTTATTTCGAGACAAAACGGTATAATTGACCGAAAAGAAGGAATTTCAATTTACAGAAACATATAAAAATTTAATTTCTTTTAAAGGAAAATAAGGTAGGAAGAAGATTGACGCCGAAATGACAGCCTTATATGCGCATAATAGGTTGATTTTCTTAATACGAAAAAAGAAATAAAAGAAAATGTATAGAGAGGAAAAAATGGACAGTGGGAATGAAAAACAATATACAAGGAAAGAGAGAAGGGCCAAAAAAAAAGTAATCATTAATGTATAATAAATTCTCACTCTTTTTTATAGCAATTAATATCGGGTTTTCATCAAAATAGATCAAGGGAACTGGTAACGTATTATCGCCGACAAATCTTCTCACCATATGATGAATTTTAGATGCATATTCATCTAAAAGATTAAGGAAGTATTACAAATTGATACTTATCTCTATAGGAAAATTATAACATATACAGTATTCCAATTGAGAGAGAAGACGAGAATAAGCAAGAAAAGAACAAGAGAGATAAATGGCTGTTTTAAGCTGTGTCGTGCCAACAGAATTGTAGTTTTGTTTAGACAATGCATGTGTCTCATATTTTTGTTTTGTTTTCATGTTTGCGCTCAATTATGTTGGTTGAATTTTAGCGTTTTTTTTATTTATAATGTTTTTTCCTGAAAATGATTTTTATATACAGCATCACTGTTTCTGACTGTTTTAAGATTTATCACCGCTCGTACATTACTTTTTTTCTTTTTATAATGGTGGCATACACCGATCGATCATACATTACTATTAAATTAGCCAATATAGTTAGTAACTAAAAGTAAACTCGGATAGAATGAAAATATAAATTGATTTGAAAGCATTTGAATTGACTCGAAGAAATGGTTTTTTGAAGGAAGCACTAAATGTGGGGGGAATGAGAAGGAGACGGCGAAGCATGTGGAGTGACAGGGCGGATGCAAATGGAATGGGTCCCACTCCAATCATACGTTAATTTGCCAGCTTGGCACTTTTGTGTGTTTTGGTTGCTGTTTTTGTATCCTCTTTCTAAAATGTTTATCAATCATAGTTAATAAAATTTGAAATCATTCCATTTTCGATGTATATAAACAATCTCAACCCCTAGGTTCGCGAACTACGTTTTGTTTATATAAATGTCAGCATTGTAACTTAATGCCCAAGTATCTTACAATTTCTAATAACAGAAGACTAGCTCGTCTAAGAAAGTGGGCTAAAAGTTATGGACAGTTCAAGTTTTGTGGTTCTGCTGCCACTATTCAACCCATAACGTTACCATAAAGGCCGTAATTTTTTAAGGCTATAGCGAATCTCACATAAAGGCTATAATTTTACGCTATTTGGGCTTCATTTCAGCCCATAACGTAACACTGCTTTTTACTTGAGATACACTTATCACTTTGGTTAGGTTGACATCGTGGAAGCCGCCGTGTTGAGGATTCGAAGGGTTCTAGCTAGAGTTTCTCCGCCATGATCGTATCGGAGGATCTTCTTGCCGTCAGCCAACGCAACCCGAGAACGAAGACCTCATCAGAACCGATCCCATTTGATATAATCGTGGAGATTGTTTCGAGTTTGCCGGCGAAATCCGTAGCGAGGTTTCGCAGCGTATCCAAGCAATGGGCTTCCATCCCCGTCCTCCCCTATTTCTCGGAGCTGTTCATCACAAGACCTTCGGCTCGCCCAAAGCTATTGTTCGCCTGGAACGAATATGGTGAGGTGCGCTTCTTCTCCTCACCTCAGCCTCAGCCTCGAACTCTTACTCCGTTGGCCGCCACTTATCAGATGAAAATTCCGTATGACTTCCCATTCGAAAGATTTAGTCCTATGAGAGGTTTTGTCTTTCTTAGAGATACGCTGGTTTTGAAGGGATAAAAGCACCAGGTCCCGGTGATTTGTAACCCCGGCACGGGACAGTCTTTGACCTTACCTAGAGTGAGGTCGAGGAGGAGGGTTGGTGTGAGGAGCTATTTTGGGTATGATCCGGTTCTGAACCAATTCAAGGTTTTGTCCATGACTTGGGTGGCTTATGGAAATCGAAATATTGTCACTGAGGAGCATCAAGTTCTGACAATTGGATCCGGTCGAGAAGCGTTGTGGAAAAAGCTCGAATGCACCATACCCCATTCTCATTATGAGTATAACCACGTATGCATCAACGGTGTTGTGTATTATCCAGCGTTCAATACAGCAACAAGCGCGTACATAATCGTTTGCTTTGATGTTAGGTCGGAGAAGTTCAGATTTTGTAACGACACGGATGGTTACTTTCAATCATATCGTTGTGCACCTCTGATAAACTATAATGGCAAATTAGGCTCGTTTTCGTCGTCTCGAAGCTTCAGTATCGATGGAAGCTTCCGTATGGATGGAAGCTGTACAAGTATTACGTTGCGGGTTCTTGAAGATGCCGAAAAGCATGAATGGTCTGAGCATATATACGTATTGCCTGATATATGGAATAAACTTATTGGAGGCACGACAGTGAGCTTTGCTGGAGTTACCCGGGCAATTGAAATCGTATGTTTGAATGAGAAGGAGACGGTGAAGCATGTGGAGTGACAAGGCAGAGGCAAATCGTATGGGTCCCACTCCAATCATTCTTAATTTGCCAGCCTGGCATTTTTTTTTATGTTTTGGTTGCTCTTTGTATCCTCCTAATATTTTGTTTTCGATAAAATTGATCCAATTTCGTTGTAAAACCTTATCTTCGCGAACTACGTTTTGTTAATATAAACGTCAGCACTCAGCATTGTGAATTAATGGCCGAAGATTATAAAGTTCTAACAACAGTACTAGAGGCTAGCGGGCGGCTAATGTAAGAAAGGGCTCGCATGTATCCAGCTTTCAGTTAAAACTTACAGGCCTAAATTTAGGCTAAATGGGCTTCCATACAGCCCATTACGTCATACACTGGTCTGACTTGAATACATGCTTATCTTCTCGGCAAAGCCGCCGTAATCAGCGGACTCGAAGGGGTTTTGACCAGAGTTTCTCCGCCATGAACGTCTGTGAGGATCTTCTCGCCGTCACCCAACGCAACCCGAGAACGAAGACCTCGTCAGAACCGATCCCATTTGATATAATCGTAGAGATATTTTTGAGACTGCCGGCTAAATCCGTAGCGAGATTTCGCTGCGTATCCAAGCAGTGGGCTTCCATCCCCGTCCTCCCCTATTTCTCGGAGCTGTTCTTCACCAGATCTTCTGCTCGCCCAAAGCTATTGTTCGCCTGGCACGTAGATGGCCAGGTGCTCTTCTTCTCCTCACCCCAGCCTCGAATTCTTGGTGAGGACTCGCCGTCTCCTTTAGCCGCCGATTACCTGATGAAAATCCCGTGTGATGACTTGTCATTGAAAAGATTTACTCTCATCAGAGGCTTCGTATTTCTTCGAGAGCGGCGGATTCTAAATGGGAAATCTCACCAGGTCCCGGTGTTTTGCAACCCCGGCACGGGACAGTATTTGGCCTTACCCAAAGTAAGTTCGAGGAGGAGGGTCGGTGTGAGGAGCTTTTTTGGGTATGATCCGGTCGAGAACCAGTACAAGGTTCTGTCCATGACCTGGGTGATCTATGGAAGCCAATGGAGGGCCTCCGAGGAGCATCAGGTTCTGACATTTGGACCCGGTCGAGAACCGTCGTGGAAAAAGATCGAATGCAGCATACCCCACTCTCTTCTTTTTGAGTATGACCACATTTGCATCGACGGTGTTGTGTATTATCGAGGGTTCAATACGTCATCAATGGTTTTCCTCATCATTTGCTTTGATGTTAGGTCGGAGAAGTTCAGTTTTGTTAGAGACACGGATCCTTACACTCAAATATATCGCTGTGCGCCTCTGATCAACTATAATGGTAAATTAGGTTCATTTTCGTCTCAGGGCTTCCGTTTGATTGTCGATGGGAGCTGTACAAGTATTACGTTGCGGGTTCTTGACGATGCTGAAAAGAATGAATGGTCTGAGCGTATATACGAATTGCCTGATATCTGGAAGAATGTTGTTGGAGGCACGAGTTTAAGCTTTGTTGGAGTTACTCGGACAAATGAAATGGTCTTCGCCCCTAGATCTTCTCAATATGTGCCTTTCTACGTATTCTTCTACAATACAGAGAGAGAGACAGTCACAAGAGTTGAAATCCAAGGAATGGAAGCGTGTATAGGTTGCGTTTACACTTTTATGGATCATGTAGAGGATGTGTCACTCATGGACTTGTTTTAGAATCATGCTTTTATAACTTTGAGGATCTTTGTAACAGAGCTAGTTTGCGATTATCGTACTGGATGACTAATCTTTAGTTTTGTTAATTGTTATACTCGATTCCCCTGTTTACCCTTTACAGTGAGCAATGGCCAAGTTTCTCACTTTGTAAATGGTTATCTTGATAGCTGAAACAAGTAATCCACTTTGTTAATCGTATCTTCATGACTTGAACCAAACCGATCAATCTTGATACCTCTGGTTCGGTTTCCTTATGCGCTGGTTTAGTTGGTGCTCAATTGCTGCTTCACCATTTCGTCTGAAAGACATTAATGAGCCTACATGCTTCGAAGACAAACAACATAAGTAAAGCTCTACAGTTGAATAATT